CTTATTTGGAGTTTTTAAAAAAATACCTATTTTGCTTTTTGGTTTTCTTAAATCACAAAACAAGACCTGTAATAAGAATGTGGCATAAAGCAGACGTTCTCCAAACAGTGGCCTGTGGCTGACTTGAAACCCAAACCTCCACCATTTCAAACAGCATTCTCACTGGGATTTTATCGAAGAGCCAGCCATAACTGGAAGAAATCTCAAAGGCTGCATTAGCTGGGATTTGGGGTGTTGGGGCATCATCCAGCTGTATCTGGAAGGCCTTATTAAGTGATTTCAGTTTAAATCTCATATCTGGCCATCTATAGTGCATCATTCATATTTTTTTTAATCTATCATCTATCTATAACTATCTAGCTATCTAGCTATATACCTACCTACCTCTCCCTCTCATCTATTATCTGTCTGTCTGTCTATCTATCTATCTATCTATCTATCTATCTATCTATCTATCTATCTACCTACCTACCTACCTATCTATCTATCATCTGTCTATCTATCTAATCTAATCTAACCTAATCTATTTCCCACCTTTATTATATTTAAAATTAATTCAAGGTATCGAATATATCCCACACACCTTCCTTTTCCTATTTTTCAGCACAAGAAAACAATCATGTGTGGTGAACGTTCCGATAAAATCTCTAAATGGTGCCATCAATCTCTTGTTGTTTTTTAAAATTTGAGTGGCGTGCTAGGCTGTAGCGTAAACAATGCAAGGCTAGCATTAAATGGAGAAGGAGAGCTGAGAAGAAAGAAAGTTGTAGGAATCCATTCTTTGTCTTTCCATAGAACAGAATAGAATTCTTTATTGGCCAAGTGTGATTGGACACACAAGGAATTTGTCTTGGTGCAAATGCTCTCAATGTACATGAAAGAAAAGATACATTCATCAAGAGTCAAGAATCATAAAGTACAACACTTAATAATAGGGTGCAAATAAGCAATCAATCATATTAGGAAAAAGTCGATATAAATCATAAGGATACAAGCAACAAAGTTACAGTCCTACAGTCACAAGTGGGAGGGGATGGGTGATAAGGAGTGATGAGAAGATTAACAGTAATAGTAGCGCAGACTTTGTAATAGTTGAACAGTGTTGAGGGAATTATTTGTTTAGCAGAGTGATGGCCCTCCAAGGGAAAAACTGTTCTTGTGTCTAGTTGTTCAGGTCCATGCAGAGTGATTCAGTGTGTCACCCTAAATCAATGCCCCCCAAAATTTTGAGCACCAGGGACCGGTTCTGTGGAGAGAGATTTTTCTATGGACCATAAGGGGCATGGTTTCATGTACTGCCTGCATCCCACGGATGGGCCTTCACTTGTTTGCAACGGCCTGTTTTCTGACATGCCACATTCATGGCCCAGTGCCAGTCCATGGATCGAGGGTTGGGGATGCCACCCTAAACCATGGGACATTTAATGACGTAGGCCAGAGGTGGGTGTTCAGCAGGTTCTGACCAGTTCTGGAGAACCAGCAGGTTCTGACCAGTTCTGGAGAACCAGTAGCAGGCATTTTGAGTAGTTCGGAGAACTGGCTAATAGCAGCTTTGACTGGCCCCGCCCCCATTATTCTCTGCCTCCTGAGTCCCAGCTGACTGGCTGGGTCTCCTTTTGTTGCCCTGCACAGGAGAACGGAGCTGGAAAGCAGGTTAGTGGGATGGGAAGGGGAGAGGCACGCCCACAGAACCGGTAGTAAAAAAAAATTGAATCCCACCACTGACGTTGGCGTTGCATATTAAAAGAACATAGGAAGTGTGTTTCGTTAACCAGGGTTGGAATTCAGTTATTGTCAGGAACATAAAATGTCCAGATAATTAATAAATGAAACTCGCATTCACAACAGTTCTTGAGCAGATGTCAATAGCAATACAGATGTTCAGCTGCACTTGACACACCCTTAAATCAGCATTTGCACAACCAAGCTGGGGGTGATGGGATTTGTAGTTTCTTTTGCAAAGGGACTGAATTAGCAAGCATACTTGTCTTGGCAATTATGAAAAGCTCTTCCACAGCAAGGTGGCCCACAGACCACATGAGGGGTAAAATGATATAGATTTAACCAGGGTAGCACAGTGGTTAGAACGCGGTATTGCAGGCTAATTCTGCTCATAGGAGTTTGATTCCCACAATCCTGACTGGCTCAAGGTTGACTCAACCTTCCCTCCTTCCGAGGTGGGTAAAATGAGGACCCAGATTGTTGAGGGGCAAGAGGCTGGCTCCATAAACCACTCAGAGAGGGCTGGAAAGCATGTGAAGTGGTATATAAGTCTAAGAGCTAAGTGGGAAGGAAGGAAGGAGAGAGGGAGGGAGGGAGGGAGGGGGAAGGGAGGGAGGGAAGGAGGAAGGAAGGAAGGAAGGAAGGAAGGAAGGAAGGAAGGAAGGAAGGAAGGAAGGAAGGAAGGAAGGAAGGGCCGTGGTGGCACAGTCATGAGAATGCAGCATTGCAGGCTAACTTACTGCTTGTTGTCAGCAGTTCAATCCTGACTGGCTCAAGTTTGACTCAGCCTTCCATCCTTCTGAGGTCAGTAAAATGAGGACCCAGATTATTAGGGGCAAGAGGCTGACTCTGTAAACCACTTAGAGAGGGCTGGAAAGCACTGTGAAGCGGTATACAAGTCTAAGTGCTATTGCTATATAATGTATGCTCTAAGCCAGAGGTCTCCAAACTTGGCAACTTTAAGACTTGTGGACAGAATCTTAGCTAGGGGCTCCCCTGAACCCCTGCAAAACCCCCTCGCAGCCCACTCCTGGCTTAGAGGCTACCCCCTTGATCCCCAGTGCAGATGGAGGATGCAGCTGAAATGTACGCAATGGGGAGGGGGATGACAAGATGGAGACAGAGAGAGAAGCTGGGGGAGGGGGGAGAATATCCTTGATTGGAAATCCATCTCCGACCGAGCAAAAGGCAGGGCTGCTCCCTGCAGAGATCAAAATAGACAATGGATGGTTCCCAGCCCACTGTGGAAGAAGCCCACAAGTGTGAAGTTTACCTCTCAGCCTTGTCTCCTGCGGGAGGCGAGAGCGAAAGGTACCATCTGCCAAGTTGGGCGCACACAAGAGTTACACATACAAGGCAGTCTTTGTTCGTCTGCAAAGCCTCCGCTCGGCCCCGTAGAGACGGCTCCCTTTTTCGGCACACGTGGGGGCCCTTCTGGCCTGCACCACCGCCTGGCTGGGGGAGGTCAAACCCGCTCAGCTCTCCTCCTCCGATTCTCCCTCCCCTCCGCAACTCACCGCTTGCTCGCCAGAGAAGATCTCGTAGAATGAGATGCAAAGGGAGAAAGCAAAATTTCTCTGGCCTGTAGCAGGACCCTTTGAGAAATTGGAGCGGGTGGGGGGGGGCAGCCTTGCCAAATTTTCCTCTGAATTGGGTTTGGGGGAGGGAGGCAGGGAGGGGGAGAGGCCTGCGGGAATAGCCAGGGCAGGAATTGCGTAGACCTTTTCTTTCTTTAAGTCTATGGAGATTCTCCATCATTCCAGTTCACGGCTGTCCCCAAAGGTGTTTTTTTTTCCCAAAAGGCAACTAAACTTTCTTGGATTTTGTTTTTTCCCTTTGAAAACATTTCACTTCTCATTCAAGAAGCTTCTTCAGTTCAGTTCAATTTATTACAAACAGAGACCACAGACCAGAACAAATAAAAACACTCAATAAATATACAATTAATTTTTTATAATAAAATAATAAATAACACATAAAATCTATGATAAAATCCAGTCTCTCAATTATAGATGGTCTAACTATACTAAAATCACAATCCATAAACTGTGTAGCCCATAGTCAGTTTATTTTCCAGAAAGAGTGCAGAGAAGAGCAACCAGGATGATGAGGGGACCGGAGGCTCAAACATATGATGAACGGTTGCAGGAACTGGGCCTGGCTAGTCTAGAGAAGAGAAGGACCAGGGGAGACATGATAGCAGCCTTCCAATATTTGAAGGGCTGCCACAGATAAGAGGGATACAGATTGACAGAATTGGAAGGGACTTTGTAGGTCATCTAATCCAACCCCCCCACCCAAGCAAACCCTACACCATTTCTGACAGATGGCAGCCCAGTCTCTTCTTGAAAGCTTCCAAGTGATGAAGCTCCCACAACTTCTGAAGGCAAGGCAAGAGAGGAGGAAGGGGTCAAGCTATTTTCCAAGGTGCCTGAAGGCCAGACAAGGAACAAGGGATAGAAACCGATCAAGGAGAGATTCAACCTGGAAATAAGGAGGAATTTTGTGACAGTGAGAACAATCAACCCATGGAACAGAAGTTGCCTTCGGAAGTTGTGGGAGCTTCATCACTGGAGGCTTTCAGGAAGAGGCTGGACTGCCATATGTCAGAAACGGCAGAGGATCTCCTGCTTGGGCAGGGGGTTGGACTAGATGACCTACAAGGTCCCTTCCAACTCTGATTATCTGTTATCTGTTATAAACATCGGGGTCCTCATTTGACCGACCTCGGAAGGATGGAATGGCTTTCACGAAGAGGCTGGACTGCCATACGGCAGAGGATCTCCTGCTTGGGCAGGGGGTTGGACTAGATGACCTACAAGGTCCCTTCCAACTCTTGTTATTCTCTTCTGATAGGTACAGAAACCACTCCGAAATCCTTTCCAAGGGGGACAGAATCCCGGCCACCCGGTCCTTCTCCCACTCCCCTCTTTTTTCTTTTCTTTTTTTGCATTCCGTCTGCATGGGAAAGGGCCGCTTTTGAAGAGGCTCGCAGGACCCGGCCAGGTTTCTCGGCTGGGGCATCGCCGCCGCCGCCTTCGCTCGCCTTCCAAGCTGGCGCGCCTGGCATCCAGCTGCAGCCTCGCTTCCTGCCTTTGGCGCGATTGGCCGGGCACCCGATCTCCGCCTTGCCCGGGCAGGCGGGACCCCGCGCCTGGTGGCGGCTTAGACACGCCGAGCGAGCAACGGGAGCCCATTGGCAGGCCGGAGGGGTGATTGACGGCCGGGGCTGTTTGCAGGGAAGAGAGACGGGGGCGGGGAAGGGCGGAGGGAAGGCGGCATTCCTGCGAGGCGGCTGGCTGCGGCTGCTGCCGGAGTTCGCTGCGCCACTGGGCGCTCGAGTTTGCCTTTTCCCTTTATATATATCTATACACACACACACACACACACACACACACACACACACACACGTATTTGACTGCTGCTCCGTTTTCTCTGTGTGCTCTTCTGCTGATCTCGTTTTCTTCTCTCCTTCCGTGCCTCCTCCTCCTCCTCCTCCTCTTCTTCCTCCTCCTCCTGCCGCCACTTCTCCCTTCTCCCTTCTCCCTCCGCCCCGCACCTCTCCTTCTCCCTGGAAACCACTCTTCTTACAGGGAGAGACCAGTGGTTAGATCGGAAGCTGGATGGATGGTTATGGGGAAAGGGGCAAGCGCGAAAGCCCTCGGACTGATCCAGTTCTTCCTCTTGTGGCTCTCCATCTTCCCCGCAGGTAAGCAGCGCCGGGTCTTTTCCCACCTCCCCGTCCGTCCCCTTTGTTTTGTCTGCTCTTGTGTTGGTTTAAATCTTGGAAACTTTCCTTGGGGTTTTTTTTTTTGCTCGGGATTCCCCCTTTCCGACGGGCTGTTGCTGCCCCCCCCCCCCCCCGAGGCCTCGTCCTTCGGCCCTGGGCTCCCCCTCCTAGAAAGCATCGGATTAGAGCCGGGTCGGTGGTTTTTTTTTTTTTTTAAACCCAGCCGGATTGGCCCCATCCCTGGCCGGTTGCCTTTTGTTCAAAATAAAATTAAGAAGGAAAAAAAGAAACGCGTCCCGTATATAGTATTCCTTCGCTCGGCCTTTGTCTCTCGCCTAAGACGGAGTCTCCCTTGCAAAAGAGAGAGAGAGAGAGAGAGAGAGACGGCCAAAAGAAAGTCGCTTTGGAAGAGCAGAGTTGGAAAAAAAACCCTTCTGGATAGTTAGTTGGAGTCTAGGCTGGGAAGCGTTACCGGGGGTGGGGGGAGTGGGGGGGTCTCCTTCCAGCCCCGCACCGGCCTGCCTTGCAAATGCGGGGAGCGGGAGACAAAACAGCGGGTAAGATTTTGCAGGCAGCCGGCGTCTCCTTCGCTTGCGGGACGCTTATTCCGAGATGGAGCCCGTTGTTCGGGGGGGTCCCTAAACGTCGCTTTAGCACAGTTCACGCGCTGCCGTTTTGAATGCGGTGTTTTTTAGGCTGTTCTCTTCCCGGTGTGGCTCGTTTTGGCTCTCCGAATCCCTACGGGATCTCTCTTCCTCGGGGAATCTGCTTCTCCCGTTCAGACCTCTTCTTTCAAGGGCTCAGATGTCCCGAAAAGATCCACCGTGCCCGCCCCCCCAAGACCTTTTCAGAAGTTGCAGCCCCCCCTCTCCCCGGTTTCTTTCTAGAGAAGGCCCTTCTCGTTTCGAGACACCCCCCCCCCTCCCGATTAGAGGTTGTTTTAAGAGTTTGCAAAAGGAAGCGCAAAACCTCTGGAAATCAGTGCGCGCAACGCGCGTCGCCCGTCGCCTTTCGCTTCAATTTATTCAGGCTTTGCATTACGATTTGATTTTCTTTTATTGGGGGTGGGAGTGGGCGGGGGGGGGGGGGGGGGGGGGGGGGGGGGGGGGGAGTTGGGTGAAAAGAAATTTGTGGAAAGACTTATGCCGGCCGATGGATTTCCTGGCTGGAACCTTCTCTTGTGCTGCTAAGCGCTTGTTTCTATGCTTTAACAAGGTTGCCAGATGTTGATCTATGCAATAATATTTCAAACCCAAAGGACGACAGCTGTTGAAAAAAAAATACATGGGAATGTTTTGATCTCTTTTCTTGATTCCTCCTTCCTCGCATCCGCCCCCCTCTTGACTCGCTCTTTATTTATTTGGGAGCTTTCCTTCTGCTTAGATGCAGGCGGGTCCTCTATCTCCAAAACCACCTCTTTCTTTCTCTCTCCTTCTCTTTCTTCCACTCTTTCTTCTTTCTTCTCCTTCTCTTCTTCCTCCTTTTCTTCTCTTCTTCTTTGCTCTTCTCTTTTGTCTCCTTTCTTCTCCTTCTCTTTCTCCTTCTGTTTTTTCTTCTGCTCTTTCTTTTCCTTCTCTCCTTCTCCTCCTCTTCGCCCCCCCCCCCAGTTTGTTTTTACTAAGTCGGGAAAGGAGTGAATTTTTCAGCATCGCAGCTGAAAAACGCCATCTGTTTCCAATGAATTCCCCCACTGCTTTTTCACAGCGTTTCTGGCAGATCCTGCTTTGCAAATTCCTGCATGCTTGTTTTCGTTGGGGGAGGGGAGCGTAACTTCACACTGGCGGAGTTGTTCCCTTCCAAAACTCTCCAATTTCGTGGCCGCTGGGCTTTCTTTCCCCCCACCTCCCTCCCCGCGCCGTTTACTCCAGGCGATGGAGAGGAGGGGGACGAACAGGAGAAAGGGGGCAATGCGCGAGGTGTAATTTGTCTGTTGATACAGGCTGCAGTGCCTTTTTTTTTTTCTTTTCAAAACCTCCCCTTTGCGGAGCTGAGAAATGATGACTGCCAGGGGAATATTTTTTTTTTTATTAGAAACAAAGATCATCCAGCTTATTAACACCTGTGTGTATGTCTTGCTTGAGTGTGCAGACAAAACAATAATAATATTATCATCATTATCACAAGTTGACAAAGTTCTTGCAAATGAACAGGTCAACATCCTGTGGGACTTTCAGATCCAAATAGACAGACAACTGGCCCACAACATGCCTGGCATCACTATTGTGGAAAAAAGTCAGGGCCGTTGATATTGCAATACCAGGTGATGCACAAATTGAAGGGGAAAAAAATGAAATATTGTGATTTGCAACTTGAAGTTGAGCAACGGTGGAGGAAGAAGTCGATGGTTGTACCCGTAGTAATAGGAGCCCTTGGAGCAATACCCAAAGGGCTGCCTGGCTACATGGAAAATTTGAACTTATTAGACCTGAATATTTTGACTTTGCAAAAAAACCATCTTACTTGGAATGGCCTACATACTCAGTACTACCTTAGCAGTTCTTAGGCCCTTGGTTTAGGACTTGAACTGTTAAGTTTTTACCAGTCCCAGACTATGAATCGAATTGAAGAGTAAATCTTAAATAATAATAACAACAACCTCCTGGCTTATCCTGAATCCTTGGGAAGGACTCGATGGGTGAATAAAAATGCCAACTCCTATTGGAACATCTGACTGACTGTGCCATAAACTATAATCACTCCACCACCATTGTTTCTTAATGTTCACACTTTGTTCTAATTGTCATGAATTGGGAAACAGATAATCCTTTAGTAAAAAGCCATAGTCTTGGGTCCCTTAAACTGCCCATCTCCATGTGCTATGGAGTCCAAGCAAATCCAAAATTCTTTGAGGGGTCCTTGAGCTATCTGAGCTTGTTTGTTTATTATTATTTAGTTTAGTTTATTATTTATGGGAATTTCTCAAACAAAAAAACTGAGAACGAGAATAAGAGAATGAAAATACAATGACAGGGACATCATAAAGACGTTAGTGCTCTTATGCATGCCTGCTCCACTAACCACTTAAGTATGATGGAAGTCCATTTGTGACTGAAACTATGAAAATTTGTAGCTGAGACAACTGAATCAGGTAGGGCATTCCAGATTTTGACAATTGTATTACAGAAATCATATTTTTTACAGTCAACTTTAGAATTATTTACAGTTTGTTTGTTTTGAAGACACTTCATTACCCAAACCAGTAATATCGTCAATGCTAGTGATGATAAGTGATGGTGTTACTTAGTTTGGATAATGAAACATCTGCAAGAAACCCAAACAAGCTCAGAGAGCAGCAAGGATCTTTTCATTTCCACCCTGAGCTACAGATACTCTCCTTTATTGGTACAAAATTCTTTTCTGGTGAAAACACGCCATGCTCTGAATCGCCCTGCAAGAAGGAACTTGATTTTCGATCTGGGGTGTGTTTATGCATCCATTTCCTTATTTTCAGCCCCAGCAGCCCAAATAAGGATGAATAATAAGAGAGGTTTAGGGTGGAGGTGGGGAACTTACAAAGTATTCTTTCGACTTGACCGTTTTTTTAAAAAAAAAATGGGGAAGAAAGGGTGAGGATCAATGAAGAAATCTTAGGTCGATGGCATTGTGAAGAACCTTGGTTGGTTGGGTTAAAATTTTCCTGAATTCATCTTGGTTGTAATCTCTCTCGGAGAGCAGTTAACTAACAGGGTCTTTCTGGCAATGGATAAGCTTGTGCCTTTGTTTCTCTTGCGAGGGCCAGGCTATCCTGGTTGGTATAGTATTTTATCTGGGGTTAATGGCCCTCTTCATTCGTTTCAGATAACTAAGACCCATAAATATTTTTTTCAAGGTGTTCCTGGACCTCTTCATTACTTTTATGAAGTTGTTTAATCTCTTTTTAAAGTCTGGGAAGTTTGCAGCCTTCAACACATCTTGTAGCAGCTAATGGTCTCCCTTATGCAGGGGAAAGAGATGAGAATTTGCAAAGACTTACGCTCTGTTAAATCAGTGGGGCTCTAAGGAGCTGCAGGGCTGAAGTCACCCTGTATTAAATGACCCCTCCCCCCTTATCTCTTAGCAACACTGCTGTAAGCGTTGTTTGCTTGTGTGTTGTTTTTTTTAAGACACCACTTTGAGTTTCCTTTGTAGGAATAGAATGGTAGTGATTGACCAATAAATCGGCTGTAGATGGCATTGCATCCTTCTTCCTTGCTTTTGTGCACATTCGTGCTTGGTATGCCAAGGGAGGGACTTTATTTGTCCCCTGTCCAAACTTTACTTTGAGTAATCTACAAGGGGTCAAGCGTGGTTTGGACCAGGACAGAAAAATTAAAAAGCCACGACGTGACTTCGAGTTGACATTCAGTTGAAAATAATTCCTGAAAAGGCAAAACCGAAGAAGCTTCTTGAATGAGGATCAAAAGGAAAAATTACAAAACAAAACAAGAAAGTTCAGTTGCCTTTTGGAAAAACACCTTGGGGACAACCATGACCTGGATAACTGAGAATCTCCATACACATCCTGTAAATGCAGCTATGCCCCAATGCCACGTATTTTAATCATTCAGTCACATTGGGTAGGAAGCAGGGGGGTCTTGGGGGAATGCAGGCTTTGGAAAGACAGCTCTCAAATATTTGAGTAACTGAAGGAGGCTTCAGGTTATGCAGTTCTAGCCTACAGCGTCCACAGGAAATGTGCCCCTCCTCAAAAAAAAAAAAAAAAAAACCTGGGGTCCAGGAACAGAATTCTACTTTTGATGGGCTTAGCAATGTTCTTTTTCATGGTTTCAAAGCTAGAACAGGGTTTGTGTTATTGGACTCCCTGGTCAAATATGGGTGCTTCTCCCACTTGCCATATTTTCAGAGAAGCTGCATATGTGGTACTCCGGCCGTTGAAAATATTTCTCATATTTTGTTTGAGTTTCAGTTCTATGCCCCACTTAGGCTTAAATCTTTATCATACCTTTTGGAAAGAACAGCCCACTGGGATCTCAAGCACA